TAAGTGAAGATGAGTGGAAATGATAGATGAAAAGAAAATGAATATGGTAATAACCGTTTATCTTACATAATTGAAATAAAAGTTTGACCAGAAATGTTGGCACAAATGGAAGCGTGATTGAAGGTGTGTTTTGCGTATGCAATGATCATTATTTAAGTGAGCTGTTAGACCCCAAATCAGATTCGAGGCTATTCAAGCTCCCTGTTCTAGATGTGGGTTGAATTCGTTGTCGCAACTTAGTCTTGTTGTCACGGCGACTTAGTCCAACGCACCTAGTCCGAAGTCGTCTGCCATAGTAGTTGTCATGATTTCCAGCATCAAAGAAGACTATGTAGAACGCACCGAGTCCGAAGTCGTCTGCCATAGTAGTTGTCTTGATTCCTAGCATCTGACTGTGGACTTGATACATTCTCAAACGTTTCGCCGGCATCGTAGTCGGCATCATCAGTGAGTTTTGCCATTCTTGAACTTGATACATTCTCAAACGTTTCGCCGGCATCGTAGTCGGCATCATCAGTGAGCCGCCATTTTCCGCACAGTGGACTTGTACATTCTCAAACGTTTCGCCGGCATCGTAGTCGGCATCATCAGTGAGTTTTGCCATTCACCGCACCAAGCTAAGAACTCACCAGAGACAAGTGAAGTCAATCCCTCGACAAACGTTCTGCCGAAAACGGTTACACCATCACTCCTCTTTTCGTCCTGGTCTATCTATCTACTCTTTACACTCTTATCCCGCTGCCACCCTATCACAACTTCTCAGTTGTTTACATTCCACTCGTCAAAATGTGTATCCTTTTGTGGCAAATCTAGTGGGGCCCCATCACACTTGCTATTCACCCCGACCCATTATCTTTCGATCGATTGATCAAACTCGGGCCTCTGATTCGGATCCCCTCATTGTCTCGTAGATCTGTTCCTTATCTTTCTGGTTGACCGATTTCACTCGGTTCCAGTCCCAGTGTGCATTTTACTCCAGGCGCAAGTTCTCAAGGTCCCAGAAGCACGTACATTGCCGCCTCACTGAGCAAAGCGCCAAAGCTCTGATTCCCATGCTTGCAGATATCAGGCCTTCTCTTCACGCGTCCTCTCCTTCATTAAACCCATCTTATCTGAGCAAACTGTATACGCCTATCTCTGGTCGCATGCGGCATCTCAAGTGGATTTCTAGTACATTTTGACAATAACGCCGAATTTCCGTGACGGTTTGCTTATTCGTCTGCCCAGCTATCTAACTGCCAGGCCTTCAAAGTTGTACTGGTTTATTTGAAATGGACATCACTGACTGACAACGTCTTCACTTTATTGCCGAGAGCCCCTTCCCCCCTTTTTTTGTTACGATCCATTTACCTCCGGTTAACGGTAGTTCCTTTATCCAGGCGTATCCTTTTTGAGGGTCTTGTTCAATCCTTGTTTCGAGTTATCGCTAACTCTACCTTCCTTTAATATCCTGCTCATTAGATTTTTCTCCCCAAAAGATGCCAATGGTTTCTCTAATCTTCCGCTTCCTTGTGTTGTCACCGTATGGGGCCCTTCTTTCTGTTGCCTTCCAATTTATCTAGTATCCAGTATGTGCGGTGTGTTCCGCTATTTCTGATCTTTCGGTGTCAATTTTCCTGCAGAGCCTCTGATGTTCCTTGATTCGTGACAACAGTGGATAGAACCATATGGTAAAAGTGAAGACAACAGGGGCGGTAAACAGACCAGCGTAACGCTAGCACAATTGTTTTTGGTATAATAGGGATTTATATACTGGTGTATTGTAAACCAGCCACATATTATAATAAAGCTTTAGCGGAACTTTAGAAAGAAGCCCAGAAATAAATAATTATACCATGATGTGAACCGCCAACTCTAACAAAAAGTTGATTTAGGTTAAGTGGAACGCTAATGCATATATACTAAGGAATAGGTGTTTCACATGTAATAATTAGTTATCTTGTATAAGCTCGTGTATAGAAGTTTTATGTTGTTTGCATGCACGCGATAGAAATAGTGAAAACGTACATGTGTAGAGTGGCTGTCCGGACATGGTTGCCAAGAGGTTAGCCGTTGGAGACAGAGGGACCAATGACCTTGACAGTAGCGGAAGTTGAGCATCAAGGGGATGGATAAAATTGGGGGCAGAGAGAAGCTGCTGTTGATGATATTGAAATGGCTGCTGGTTTTGCTGTTGCGGCTGGCGATGCTGCTGTTGATGCTGAGTATTGTACTTTTGTTGTTGCTGAAATTGGAGCAAGTGCTGTGTTATATTATGTTTGTGAATAGAGTCAAGAAGGGTTTGGCTATTATAATACGACGAAGCTGCGGCTCCTGATAACCTGATACCCTCATTATCTTCTTCCACAGCATCCCCTCGATCTTCCTTTAATGTTGCTCCTTCTTCCAGTCCCCTCGGCCTGCCACTTTCCGTAGAGGCTTTCCTAGTCTGTTTCAACCCAATCGTTTCCTCAGAAAGCGGTCTCCTTTTCGATGTCCAAGTCCGTGTCTCTTTTTCGGACCGATTGGACAAGACTTTTGAAAGAGCCTGATCGAAAATGCCAGTCTGACCCAAATCATCCGTCGGGCCAGGAGAGGTATCATCGGCAGTCGACGCCAGTAGTGTTAAATTCGAAGTAATATTAGCAGTTTTCATCTTTGTCGTAGCAGAAACAATATGATCATCAGTCTGGTTTGAAGAGAATGGCGAACCGAGTGCTGAGCTGGCCAGACCTGGAAGAGCGTGGCGCCTGTCGGAAGCAGTCGTAATCAGTGGAAGAGTTAGGCCAAGTCCTCCTGAGGCCTGTGTACACTGGCTACCTGAAGAGATAAAAGACGAATAGAGACCACCAGAGTTAGGCGGAAGACAAGTTGGGAAACCGGCACCACCTCCTGAGCCCAAAAGGCTGAGGTCAGCTGTCCCAGAGCAATATAGACCTGTAATGGGAACGTTTGATATTAAGAGAAAATGGAAAATAAATGAATCGGCTGATCGCCGCAATAATACTATTATATATATATATATAAGGAGTAAAATAAAAATCGATCGCGAATATGAAGAAGTAAGTATTTTTTCTTTATATGAGATTATACCGCATTTAATAAAGGCAAGACAAATATATGAGTTGATACGAAAAAATGGTTATTTAACACATATAATGTTCTACGACAAATTAATTTCAAATTGTAAGTGTTTATAAGAGGAAACTTGTACAAATGAAAGATAGATATAGCACAATTTGTTTGATCAGTAATTGTGCTTGAAAGGCAGCTCCAGAGTGTTAATAGGCTCTATTTATTTGCAACATTATCAATAGTCTGTGCCAAAATGATTAAGCCTGAAATAACCTTTTAAGACGCGGTTTCCGTTGAAGAAAAAGAGAAAAATCAGTTTGAAAACTAATGCAAACATAAGGGCCACTAACATAAACGGCCGGTGGATGAGTGCCAGTATGACACTGAATATTACTGGCTCATGAACAACAGATCCCCTGTGAAAGCAATCTCTTAGAATTAGAAATGCTTCTGAGATGCCTGCCGAAAAACGGGCAACTTGATTGCAATATCTTTTTAAAATGTTACCAAACTTGAGAAAAAATTTGAATTCTGATGTCGATTTGACGGTTAGCATAGATCTGCTACTTCCATTTCGATATTTAATAACAAAGCATAGTATATAAAAAGATACTGCATATTTTTAAATATATTTCGCGAGCCATTGCAGCTTAACAAGATCCTATCGTCAACTTTTGGGTAGGAGTGAATAAAGTGGAACGACGAGCATCGGTAAACGGTTGAATTACATAACGAGCTTCATAGTAGCATACTCCTTCATCAAAGCAATGTCTGCACACAAGCCCTTAGTTGAAAAGCTTAACATTAAGATAAAAGGGGTGGCAATTTGGGGTTGATGTATAAGAAGTGAAGTACCACTATAAAGAGGTAATTTGTTACTTATGCTATTGAATATGATAAAACGCTTAAAATCCCATCACAATTTGTAGACATTTTATAAACTGTGGTTCAAAAGACACCCTATGGAAGGAAAATAAACAGAATTTAAAATAGTCTGGCCTCGCCTTTGCAAAACTATCACATTATCAGAGACCTAGATAAACGCACCTACTCCATAGTCCTTTGATATAGTATTCATGACAACTTACAGTTTCGGGACGTATATTTGGTATATTCCCAGACGTTTCTCTGGCATCGTTGCTGGCTTTCTCAGTGGGCCTTGCCACTTTTCACGTTATTATAACTCTTCAGAGACAAGTCAAATTAATTCTTCAACTAACTGTCCGTTGAACAGTTGTGGTATCTCTTTTTTCGTCATCCTAGGCTCACCAATCTTATATTCTCATATAATTTCTTTCTCTATCACAATTTATAGCTTGCTTATTTTAACCTTGTTCAGACGTACTTTTTTGAGCGAAGCTAATGAGGCCTATTCACACTCCTCCTTGGTCCCTCATCCACCTCATCGTCCTGGAAATGTATATCCAAATCTGCACTCCTCTTTTTCAGGTCCTATCAAAGTCTCTATTATTACGTATGATCCGTCTCCATCTCCTTAGTTTAGTGATTTCACTCGAGGGCTGCGGCCATATACGTGTTACTGGAGGCGTTATTTTCCAGACTCTGTCTCACGCCTTTAATAGTATGTAGACTATAACCTCAATGAGCAGGCTCCTAAAAGTCCGGAATCTCCAGCTAGATGAAAATTTGGCTTAGCGGATTGTTCACGATGAAAATCTCATGTCTAAGTCTTCACTTCCCAGACTACATCTATAATCACATCTATTGATTGCAATATCTTTTTAAAATGTTAC